TCTATTGCACCGTGTGCCCACCACCCAAGGTCACATCTTCTCCTGTCGCCTTATATTAGGACCCCCTTCTCCCCCACCCGCTTCCCTCTGGCAACCACCACACTGTTTGTGTTCATGACTTTCAGTTTTTATATCCCACATATGAGTGTAATCATATGGTTCTTAGCTTTTTCTGACTGACTTATTTCACTTAGCATAATGTTCTCAAGGTCCATCCATGTTGTTGCAAGTGGCACTATTTCATCCTTTCTTATGGCTGAGTAGTATTCCATTGTGTATATGTACTGAACTATACTTTAAAGAATAGTGAATGGTAAAAGTGATACTAGAGAATGGGACACCCAGGAGAAATTTAGATTTTCAGTAAAATACAATACAGAGCCATTGAAAATTTTGAGCCTTAGAACACGAAAATGTCATGTCAAAAGATCGATCTGGTGGCTGAATGTAGTATGAGTTAGGGAGGGCACTGTTGCTCTTAGAATAACTGCAAATAGGTGAAGCCCAGAACAGGAGAATGAGTACAGAATAAAGGGAAAGGACAAGATCAAGAGACTTTTAGTGAAAGAAAAGATAGGACTTGGTGACACATATAAATGTAAGAAAAGAGGAGATAAAAGTTACAGCCACAAGAAGTATTTGGGGGACCCTGTGCTTTTATCAGGGGCCTGGTAAAGAAGCTTGCCTTACTAATTGAATGTACAAGTTAGCAAACACCGCCCTTCCGTGTATTTTGAGATGCTAAGTGAACATTACATCATTTGCTCTTACTCTTTCTCCAACATTAGGGATCTCTGGTATGTGATTATAAGAAGTATCACTTACCAGAGTTGGAACTGAAGCAGCCATGCAGTGGTCTACACTGAAAAACTGAGCTTCCTTCTCTATAAATGTCTCTTTTGTTCATTGTTGTATCCCCAGAACCTAATTTATAATTGGTGTATAGCATATTTGTTTAAAAATTAGTGGCAGATTCAGATAGTGTGGGATTTTGTGCTGTGTAATAAATTGTCTTTTATCGTGACATCCCTTAGAGTGGACAAAGAGAATTCTATCTCGATATCACAAAATTATTCTAGTAGGAGAAATCATATGCCATTAACTAAACTAGAATTAGTATGACCCTAAATGATCCTTGAACCAAATTGAGGCAAAGTTCTCTTTGTGCTGACACTGCTGAGAGCTTCTCCACCTTGCGATAATAACCGAATTCCACTGGAATGAGCCTTAAATGAAAACATTGCTAGTCTTGTAAATATGAACAAAGATTAATCTTTTTGAGATATTTTGAGAATTTTTCCAGTCAGAAGCAATCTAGCCACAGCATCTCAGAAAAACTAGGGCCCAGAGCTGGTGGATAATATTTGAGGCTGGAGAGTTGAGGCAGGTCGGGTCAGAGCATGACATCTAGAATTTCGCAATGTGGAATTTTTAAAAAGGAATGAGACATGAGATTTAAATTTTAAAAAGTACTTTGTGATAGCTAATTTTGGGAGCTTGAACAAGGGTGGAGATGGCAAAAAGTCAACATATTTGAGAGATTGAGAAGTACAAGCATGGCATACAGATTTCTGGCTTGTGCAGTTGTGGGTGTTGCTGCTGATCTTTGAAATGAATCTTGGGGGAGGACCAGGTTTTTAGGCAGAGAGGGAAGGTTTCAATTCCGTTTTGGACAGTTTGGGTTTGATATGAGAGTCTTTGAGACATTCAGAGCTGTGGGAAAGAAAAGGGAAACTGAAGGAAACATCATCGCAGGTCCATTTGAGGAGAGTTGAAAAGATGGCTGATTCAAAATTAATGTAAGAAAAGGCTTTCCTATAATCAAATAACAATTAGAAAATGCAATGAAAGGAACAATTCCATTCACAATAGTATCAAAAACAAAACATTCAAGAGTAAACCCAATTAGAAATGTGGAAAACTTTATGAAATACAGTAGAACCTCGTTTCTCAACAAGGGTGGCAACACAAGTCAATGGGGAAAGAATAGTCTTTAAAAACAAATGGTGCGCCCTAACCGGTTTGGCTCAGTGGATAGAGCATCAGCCTGCGGACTGAAAGGTCCCAGGTTCGATTCCGGCCAAGGGCATGTACCTTGGTTGCGGGCACATCCCTAGTAGGAGGTGTGCAAGAGGCAGCTGATCGATGTTTCTCTCTCATCGATGTTTCCAAGTCTCTATTCCTCTCTCTTCTTCTCTGTAAAAAATCAATAAAATATATTTTTTTAAAAACAAATGGTGCTGTACAATTGCATATCCACCTACAAAGGAATGATATGAACCCCTTCTCACATCACACACAAAAATAAACTCAAAATAGATCATAGACCTAAATGTCTGATAAAGAGTAAATTAAGAGTAGTTAGAGTAGCTAGAAGTATTAAAAAAGCTAAAAGTATGAAACTCTTAGAAGAAAATATAGGATTAAATCTTTATGACCTTGGATAAGGCAGAGCCTTCCTAGACATGATACCAAAGCACAAGCAACCAAAGACAATAGACAAATTGGACCTTATCAAAATTAAAAACTTTGGTGCTTCGAAGAACAACATCAAGAAAGTAAAAAGACAACCCACAGAATGGGAGAATATTTACAAATCTGATAAGTATATTTTATCTTTAGATGAAAAAGCAAATAATCGGTTAAAAATAGGCAAAAACACCCAAATAAAAATTTCTCCAAAAAGATATACCAATAGCTAATAACCACATGAAAAGATGCTCAAAGTCATTAGAGAAATGTACATTAAAGCCACAGATATAAAACCACAGAGGCAGATGATAAGTATTAGTTGAGGATGCAGAGAAATCAAAACACTCATAACTGCTGGTGGGAATATAAAGTGGTGCAGGTTCTGTGGGAAACACTGACAGTTCCTCAAAGTGTTAAACATACAACTCAGCAACTCCACTCTGTCCACACAGCAACTTGTACAAGCATCATTCACAATAACCAGAAGGCAGAAACAACCCAAATATCCATCTACTGATAAATCAATAAAGAAAATGTGTTCTATTCATACAATGGAATACTACTCAGTTATGAGAAGAAATGGGTTCATAGTACAACATGAATAAGCTTTAAAAACATGCTAAGTGAAAGAAGGCAGTTACAAAATACCACATATTATATAATTCAATTTATATGAAATGTCCAGAATAGGCAAATCTACAGAGACCTCGTAGATTAGTGATTGCCTTGGACTGGCGAGATTTGAGGTTGAATGAAAAGTGGCTGCTAATAGATGGGTATGGGATTTCTTTAGGGGATGATGAAAATGTTCTAAAATTGATTGTGGTGATGGTTGTACAAACCTATGAGTATACTAAAAACCACTGATTATACTGTATATACATTAAATGGATAAATTGTATAGTATATTAATTATATCTTGATAAACCTGTTATATAAAAATATAGTAATTGAAAAGTTTGTAGAATATATGTATTATATGAATATATTTTTTAAATAATATATTTATAAGTTCAAAGCAAAACACTATATTCTTTAAAATTAGCAAAATTGCCCTGGCCAGTGTGGCTCAGTTGATTAGAGCATTGTCCCATACACCAAAAGGTCGCGGGTTCGATTCCTGGTCAGAGCACATACCTAGGTTGCAAGTTCAGGGATGTATAAGAGGCAACCAATTGATGTTTCTCTCTTTCTCTCTCTCTCTCTCTCTCTCTCTCTCTCTCTCTCTCTTTGTTCCTCTCTCTAAAATCAATAAGCATATCCTTGGGTGAGGATTTAAAAGATAGCAAAATTTGTGAAGCAATGTAAAAGGGACATCAGTGTATATTCCCCTGCAATAGTAGCTTTAATCATGTAACTGATCTGGTGTCAAAATTTCTTAATAGTAATTGATACCACCTAATTAATAAGATAACAACAATAGCATTTATTGCATTCTATGTGCCAACATTTTGCTAAACTCTTAACATACGTTTTGTTGTTTGTTTTTTATAACACCATGTTTTTTATTACTCTCCCCTTGCTTTCTATTCTCCAACATACTGAAGTTTACACTTACAAAATTGTATTATTTATCAGAATATCAGAAATGCACAATTTCTTTTGTTTTTAATCGTAGCTAAAAAGGTATTTATGTGACCTTGAGCAGTTATAAGAGCATATTGATAAATCTATCTATATGTGTTTAAGTAAGATTTTAAGAAATTCGAACTAAAACATTTTATTTATTATAGTTGATTTCCTTTTTAAGTTGATAACTTAAACACTTTTTAAGTTATTTTATTATTATTTATTTCAGAGAGGAAGGGAGAGGGAGAGAGAGAAAGAAATATCAATGATGAGAGAGAATCTTAATGGGCTGCCTCCCCTACTCCCCACACTGGGGATTGAGCCTGCAACCCGGGCATGTTCCCTGACTGGTAATCGAACCATGACTTCCTGGTTCATAGGTCGATGCTCAACCACTGAGCCATGCCAGCTGGGCGAGAAAACACTTTTTAGTTACTTGACAGGTTTTTTTGTTTAATGTAGTATTAAATTTGAAAGGCAATCGTTGGCAAAGATAATTTTTAGAATCTTTTTTTTCATTGTCTATAGACTATTGTCTCAGTCAGTTTGGGCTGCTATAACAAAATACCATAGACTAGATGGCTTAAACAATAAACATTTATTTCTCATGTTTCTGGAGACTGGAAAAGCCTAAGATTAAGGTGCCAGCAGAATTGGTTTTTGGTGAGGGGCTTCTCCCTGGCTTGTAGACATCACCTTCTTGCTGTACCCTCACATGGAGAGCAAGCTCTGTGGTCCCTTCTTATAGGAACACTGATCCCATTATTAGAGCCCTAATCTCATGACCTCATCGAAACCTAAGCACCTCCCAAAGCCCCATATCCAAATGCCATTTCATTGTGGATAGGGCTTCAACCTAGGAATTTGCGGGGTATGGGGGCAGTTTAGTCCATAGCAACCAGCTATGATGAAAACCTTGTCCATAAATGCTAACCCTAGCATTTTTTGTTTGTTTTTAGTATTATGTGCCAAGAACCTTGCAAAGAAAGACTTCTTCAGTAAGTAAACACCCATTTTTGCTCTCTTACAATATTAATATTTTTCACATATTTCTGAAATTTTAAACTTGTTAAAAACACTGGGTGTATTCTCCTAAAAATCCTGCCCTTACTGGATAGAAATCCATGGTCTGACAAAGTTCATTTCCCAGGTGACTACAACATAGAGAGAGTCGGCTCCAAAGCACAGAATTTATAACTCATACAAGAAAAACTCTCTCGTCCCCTATTTCAGCCACACCCTATTTTCTCTGTCTTTCCACCCATTAATACATTACTTTCTGCTGAACAAAGTGTTCTCAGCTCAAATACAGATGAGACATTTTTCTATAAAATAGCCGGGATTAAGTAAAATTGTTAGTCAAATTTTATAAATTAAATCGTATTTTAAAAGCCTTGTAATTAAAGGAATTATGAAAAATAGAGGATCCTTTTCTAAAGAAAGACTCACCCCTTAACTCAAGAAATTCACCTACTATAAAGTAGGTGCCTGCAGCTTAAAATTCTTCACTTTTTTCCTGATCCTCACAAGGACACTGCTCAATTCTTAAGTGGTGTTATTCACACTTTAAAGATGAAGAAATCTAGGCTCACAGGCTTTATTCAAGTAGCTGGGAAGCTTCCAGAGCGCTGGCTCGCATCCAGGTCTGGCTCTAAAGCCTTTCCCTTGCCACCTCTCTGGTCTTATAAACCTGTCTGATTCATTTAGGACTCACTGAGTTCTTGCTTCCAAAGTTAAAGTTGACAGTCAGTAAACAAGATTTCTAAGTATTACTTTTTAGAAAGTATAAGTACAATTAATTATAGATATCTTTTCCTTCATTTAATTAGCCCCCCTTAGTGATCATCAAAAATGGGAATTTGAATTTAAGCCTATTTTTAATAGGGTGGGGTGTTTTTTTTTCCCTAGCCTCTAAAAATCTGGGTGTGATGTCATCCTGGGTTGCCATTCTTAGAAAGCTAAACAGACCAAAACTGACCTTAAAATAGAGAATAAAATCGACTAATGTGATCTTCTTTACCAAATTAGAGGATTCGAAGCTCCCGTTAACCTATAAGACTATGTTCTAATGTTACACTGATCGATCTGTGGCTGTCCCATCTTCTCCAGGACTCCCCGACCCCTTTGCAAAGATTGTTGTGGATGGATCTGGGCAGTGCCACTCAACGGACACTGTGAAAAACACATTGGACCCAAAGTGGAACCAGCACTATGATCTGTGAGTTGAATATTCTGTAAGCCATTTGGGAGCAGCAGGAAAGTAGGTATCTAGCTTTTAAGAGAAGCATTTCTTTTTTTTTTTAAGGGATTTATAACTTGTTATTGATTTAAAAAAGAATAATAATAAAATAAAATAAGAAGTATGGCCAAATTAATACTGCCTCATTTTAGAGTTCATGTACTTGGAAGTTCTTGCGTTTGACATTTTTATAGATTTTTATGGTTTGCTTCTGTAACTGTGATCTTCTGTGACTTTTCAACCAACTGGCCATTCTAGCAGAAAAAAAGAGCATAGTTCGGGTCCTCTATATACTACTTTTTCAGTGAAACCCTAAACCTGGTTTTAGAGTTTTTATTTTAAAAATACATTATTATTATATTTATCTATTATGCAAATACATATTGTATATATTTCTGTTTATTTTTTTTAATTCTGCTTTTTAGTTCAAATACATTTTCTGTAAGAGAAAATATAGTTTGGTATGATTGAATGTATATAAACCTATGTACCATCAAACAACTTCTTATATTTGTTCATAAAATGGATTGCACTTTGAAAACCACTATTTTATATGCACTTATGTTTTCATGTTCTTGCTAAGAAATTTTTATCAAAGTAATACTGAATGATTATCGTTTTTTTATTAACACAAATTATACTGGGTTTGGATGAAATTTTTAATAGCTGGATTCTAAAGCTCACTTTCAGTGATACTGAGGTACCATAAGTGGCCTGGAAAGTGGTTGTCAATTCTTGTCCTGAAAGCTCCCCTCTTTGGTTGACTTGCACTGAGAGTAAGTGGGATAATGTCTGAGTTAGTACCCATTAGTGATCTTTAGATGGATCTATGGGTTTATAGGTAGTCCTCTATTGCAAACTAGTGTTCAATAGTAAGCCTAACACTAGTAGGAATTTATAAATATGTCATTGTCCTTTGGACCTAATAAAATATAATAAATCTCACCCCAGCCTGGTGGCTCAGTTGGTTGGAGTGTCGTCCTATACACCAAAATGTTTTGGATTCAATTCCCAGTCAGGGCACATACCTAGGTTGTAGGTTCGATTCTCAGTTGGGACTGGACTACGAGGCAACCAATCGATGTTTCTCTCTCTCTCTCTCTCTCTCTCTCACTCAACACATCCTCAGATGAGAATTTTAAATAAATACATATATGATAAATCTGTTATAAGATTATAACTTTATGTGGTTATCTACATTTGCTTCTTACATAACTGTTATAGTTCTTTTCCCAGACCATTGAGATTAGTAGACCTATATTTATTGAGTGCCTGCCACATGTGGAATATAGAACCAATATTATTTTTTTTTTTTACCAATATTATTTTTAAAGGATTCTTCTGTGCTAACAAGTCAATCAGATAAAATCTCAGTGGGCTATATCATAATTCAGAAATACAATTAAAAGTGAGTTTGCATGTTGTTTTTAGATATGTTGGGAAAACTGATTCTATAACCATCAGCGTGTGGAACCACAAGAAAATTCACAAGAAGCAGGGAGCTGGCTTCCTGGGCTGTGTGCGGCTGCTCTCCAATGCCATCAGCAGATTAAAAGATACTGGATGTAAGAAACTAACGCTTTTCTGCCTCTTCATGCAACTGAAGAAGGCTTATGAGGCATCTTTTTTTTTTTTTAATACTGAATACAGAATTCCTGCCTTCCTCCCTAGTTAACATTTCGCTGGGTTAAGTTTTGAATTGTTTGTTTGCAGACCAGCGTTTGGATCTATGCAAACTAAATCCCTCAGATACTGATGCAGTTCGTGGCCAAATAGTGGGTAAGAACTTTCTCATCTGTATAAAGAGATGCTTTTGCTCAACTTAACATTCAACTCTCCATCACTGAGGAAACACATACAGGCACTGGCATGGTGACATACTTCGAAGAACAAACCACTTACAGGGGCCATCTCTTCAGCACTAAAAAGTTTCACCTTGTGTAGTTTTGATTACTTTATCTAATTTATCTCTTCAACCTATCATTCAAAGTTGAGTTAAAATCACTAAGGTACAAAAATATTTAGGGTTATAATTTTAAATGTCATTTTAATCATCCCATTATGGATAATTAATTTGTCATTATATTATCCAGAGGTAGTTAAGAACAGTGGCCACATAATGCAATAGTTGAGAAATAGTTTCTTCAGGAAAACCCATCAAATATGTAAAAAGCAAAGATGATTTCTGAAGACTTCCATGTAATATGATTTGATAGAGTTAGAGGATTGAATTATTTAGAATGAACAAATAAATGTGCTAATGTTACAAAGTGTTGACTGGCAGTATTCTCTTGGAAGCGATTTATCTGTTAAGTAGCTCATCATATTATTCATTTTTTTTATCAGCATTTTAGGGTAACTGTGATGTTCTGTGTTTGCTGATTGTATGCATTACAAGGAATCAAAGAAAATGTAGTATTTCAGCAGCATACCAAAGTGACCCCAAACCTTTTAGGTATTGCCTTGTGTAGACTTGACCCAAGGTAAATGAACAGTGGGTATAGATCCTAAAACTATCAAAGTGAAAAAGTTCTCACTGAATGCTTTCCTGTTTCTGATTTCTTCTTTTCTTTGTGGAGAGATGTGCCAGCGGGAAATGAATAGCTGGGAGCAGCTTTATAATTGTCTTTGTTGTTCATAGTAGCCACTGAGAATAAATATTTGGATGCATCTAGACTTTACAAATACTAAAAGTGCTTTCTGTGTCCTTATTAAACATGTCAAAATCTCCTTAAAGGATAAGGTAACTTAGAGGAAGTGAATATTGTGTTCTGTTATGTTTATGGAGAGCATGAAAAACACAGTACCTCTTTCTGCTCCACATTTTAAGGAATGTTCCAGGCGGTGTATGGTGGTATGCAGCTACTGGAATAAAATACCTCTTGCTTGAAAGCATAAGAATATATGTGTCTTTGTATATGCACATGCCTCGCTTTTAGAAAATAATATTGTGCATAAATTATGCATCCGCAATGGCTCACTGTATTACAATTGTATAAAAACCACTGGATTTTAATGCACGACGTTCTTTTCTGTTTTAGTCAGTTTACAGACACGAGACAGAATAGGCACTGGAGGGTCTGTGGTAGACTGCAGAGGACTGTTAGAAAATGAAGGGTACGTATCACCATGGCAATGCCTGCTGAGTTCTCTGCTGCCTTAGGCTCTCGCTCTATATGAAAGTGTCCTTCACATCTTTCGTTGTGCTGAATGCTTGAGACACAGGAAAGAACTTTGGGATAAAATTGGCACCCAGTTTCCTTGTTTATAAAGTAAGCTGTAAAGACTAGTGGGGTTGTGCCCAAAAGACTCAGGATCCAATTTAAAGAGGTTCCCACTGGCCAAAGATGGAACAGTTTGAGCATCAGTAAGAATTATAACTAATGGATTAGAACACATCAAATATGTTAAAAATGAACATTATGTGTTCATAATGACACAGGAAGAGAAAAAAGAACCCTAAAATACTTTTCTTTTAAATACCTTGAAAACTCTCATTGGTCGCTATCACAATTTTGCAATTGCCAATGAATTAATGAAGCTGGTTGATAATTATTAATAGTTGTTAGCGACATCGCAAAAGAGAGGTAATCTGGCATTGACATACCTCTTGGAAATTGAGGGGACTCCCAAGGGAATGCAACCAGCACCATCTGGAAGGGGGGTGCTCAGTAGAGGGTAGAAGACACAGCCCAGTGTCTTCACAGATACATGCTAGGAAAATACTCACAAAAAAGGAAGAGAACCTATAAATTAATAATAAAAGACTTAAACGCATCCCTACTAAATGCCATGTGTGGGCCTCGCTTGGATCCTGAAGGAGACAATTGACTGGAAAAATTGAACACTGACTTGTATTTGATGATATTTTTAAAAATTAATGTACATTTTTTAGTCATGATGATGGGAAAAGTCTTTATCTTCTAGAGGTATGTGTGAGCTATTTAAGGGTGAATAGGAAGTTGTTGGGATTGGCTTCAGACTAATCCAGTGGAGAGGAAGGGCAGCCACAAGGCAGAGGGAGAAGTCTGGGAGGGTTGTCTCCCGAGTTGTGAATATATTTTAAATTTTTCAATGTTTTTCTAAAAGTACTTGCTTATAAGAGAAAATGGCCTATCAAGGTAAATTGTCTTCAAAATTGCTCCGGGGTGGAGATCTATGTTAAAGAGTACTTAAAGTCATTGCGGTATTTTATGTAACCAGGAGTTTTATGATAGAGGAAAATAAAAAGGGAAATGGAGTGTTTGGATTTGACTTTAAATTAAGAAAAATCAAATCTCATTTCATGTCCGAGGTTGATTTTTCCAATCCCTACCTTTACTCGAGGATGAAACCCGCAAATGGCTTGGATGGCACTTTACCTGTGGCTCCCTTTAGCTACTTGTTTCTATGAAAGTCTTTCTGTTTAACTAGGACAGGATGAATTTTATGAAACTGAGCACTTGGGACACTGTATATTGCTCAAGTAAAGCAAAATAAATGGATATAAGAGCACCGCGTTGAGTTTTCAGGGTCTTTCCTCGGCCGTGTGCCCATGCGCGCTGTGCTCTGCCCCCTTTCAGAACCGTGTATGAAGACTCCGGGCCTGGAAGGCCACTCAGCTGCTTCATGGAGGAACCCGCCCCTTACACAGATAGTACCGGTGCTGCTGCTGGTGGAGGGAACTGCAGGTTTGGGGAATCCCCAAGTCAAGATCAAAGGCTTCAGGCACAGCGGCTTCGAAATCCTGAGCTCCGAGGGTCCCTCCAGACGCCTCAGAACCGCCCCCATGGCCACCAGTCCCCGGAACTGCCCGAAGGCTACGGTGAGAGAATTCACCCGCTCTTATGCGCATTATCTACAAGGTTTCAGAGAGCTTTAATTTTTTAAACCTTTTTGCGTAACTTGTACATGCCGCAGCTGCTGATGTTGGCAGAGCTGTGCTGTGGGATGGTTGTGTCGGTGTAAAGACGAGTAACCAGAAAAAGATGGTGATAAATCTTGCTCATCACGAGGGTGTCAGCACTCTACCAGTCTCCCAGTTCAGCAATTGTGTGAAATTTCAGGCAAATGAATATCGAAGAAAACCAGGATGGTGGTGGTAGATGAGGTATTTGTAGTGTTCTGATTTGAATGTGGAAAGGACAGTATGGGATAGGATTGGAAAGGGATCGTTTGACAGCCGAGAACCTAATGCAGGAGGAATGTGGTATGGATGTGGCGCGTCATTACCAGAAGTAAGAGCAAATGGAGGTCATAGAGGTCAGGTAAGGTCAGTCCTGGGGTGGTGGATACACAAACAGGGGCTGGTCCAGGGCTGACTAAGGAAGGAGAGCACCGCCTGTCCGGGTGTGAACGGGGAACGGAAGAGAGGCCCAAACGTTTACACAGGGCTGGTGACGTGAGGAAGTCTGGCAGAAGTTCACTACTGCCCTCTTCATTCCTTTTCTGGGTGATTTTAAACAATGTTGAAAAGAAGCTTAGACTCTGTGCTTAGAGGACTGGTTGAAAAAACTCCTTGGAATTGAATTTAACTAATTGTATCCCCCGATTTCTTGCACAGAACAAAGAACAACAGTGCAGGGGCAAGTTTACTTTTTGCACACACAGACGGGAGTGAGCACGTGGCACGACCCCCGAATACCAAGGTAGGTTTCTCAGATGTGCACCGGGACCCCTGGCTGGATGAGAGCCCCTTAGGTTGAGGATGTAAACTTGGAAGAATGGCAGCTCAAAGAGGATGTCTGCCAGGGGGTCCTGGGCGGCAGCTGCTGGAACCGAGGGTCCTTAGAAAGCAATCCTAGACCTTGAAATCAGATCACATAACCAAAAAGGCCTCACCCCTGGGTTAAATCAAATGTGCTCTGACTTGGAAAGCCAAGAAGCCCTTCAAGATGTGTTCTCATTTTAACTGAAAATATTAAAATGGATGAAATCATAGGATGCCTGGGACTTGGCTTCAAATGATTGGAGTGGGGCAGTGAATATAGGGGTATATCTGAAATAGGTTGACAATGACTGGGTAATTGTTGAAGTTGGCTATTCATTATGGTTTCTCTACTTTTTTACATGCTTAAAATTTTCCATAATAAAGCATTAAAAGGAAATATAAAGACTATTACCCTTTCTCTCTTCTACTTTACTGTCCCTATTGCCTTAGTCCCTTGGGGACCATTCCTGGGGGAGATGAAGCTTTACTATACAAATTCCTTCTACAAGGCCAAAGATCTGAGCCCAGGTCAGAGAGAGCCCCACCCCAGCCCACCCCACCCCATAACAGAGTTATGTTTCTTTTCTTCTTTGCTTTGCTTTTCTTTCTTTTTTCTTTTTTCTTTTTAGAATAGCATTACTACCAAATAACATTTTTAGTAATGCTCATTTCCTTTTTATTCATAATTTGTTTCATCTGAGAACAAGCTTCCTGTCTTTGATTTTCCAAGTCTGTGTTAAATTTCTGATTCAGTGTCTATAATTAGATTGGAAATATTACCTGCAAATGGATGAGGTGTCTCGTCAGTACCCACTATAAGAAATGTCAGGCTTTTGTGCTAATTAGAAAAGCATCTTGGTCAGTAATGCTGTGTTCCCATCTGACTGTGGATTGTATTGAAATAATTAAGAGGTTGGATTAGAAACAGTTACTTAATAAAGCCAACTAAAAAATGAGAATGCCTCTCCCGGTGCAGCTGTTTAGAATTGCGAGAGTTCAAATGCGTGTTAATACATCCTATCAGCTTTAAAAAGCTTGTGTTGTCGGGGGCTTTTCAACGAAGCAGCCTTTCTGGCCTTGAGCATTTCGTTTACTATAACTCATGAGTTCAGATAGGTTTCCAGCAGCATTCAGATACTTCCTACCGTGTGGCCCTCTGTGGTATAAGAAGTGATGTTCCCTGGGTAGACCACGTTCCCTCTCATGGTTATAGGCTCTGGAAGTTTCGTTGTTATCTGTTGGATTTGCTGCCACTTGCAGCACAGAAGCCTGGATTCGGTGGGAGTTTGGCGTAAGTAGCACCATGACTGTCCCTCTTAGCAGAACTGGGACATGGCCGCATTGATAAGGAAGGGACTCCTGTGGTTCCTCTTGCTGAAGTGTTAGTTTCATGCCTCCATACTCAGATGGACAAACCTCTCTGTGTCTTCCGTTTTGATAGAGACCTTAACAGTGTGAATTGTGATGAACTTGGACCACTGCCACCAGGTTGGGAAGTCAGAAGTACAGTTTCTGGGAGAATATATTTTGTAGATCATAATAACCGAACAACCCAGTTTACAGACCCACGGTTACACCACATCATGAAGTAAGTACAACTTTTACACAATCCTTGTTGACTGCTTATGTTTACCAATTCATGTTTTCTAATATGTTTTTTAATTTATCCTACTGCATTGTTAGTGGAGAAGACACATAAGCAAATATAAGTATTTGGTGGATAGTTGCATGTGTTAAACTCTCAGGTTAGCTGTGAGAGCACTGAAGCCAGACCTTGTTGCTGTTGCCACCCTTTTCCTGCCTGCGGCTGAGATTAAATTCACGGAGGGGGCAGTATTAGGCAGGTGCGTTAACGAAGCGTCACACGCAGCTCCGTGATGAAAGGCGTGGCTCTTAAGGGAGAAGCAGTAAAATGCCCGCTCATCACAGTGTAGGAGGACTGCCAGTCACTGGTGCCACTTGCTGAGCCCTGTCCCGTGCCTGTCATCCTGGATGACTTGGAATTGGGGATTATCTTGGCTCCCGCCTTGTGTTCCGGGTTTGGCGTGTTCTCAGAACATCAGAGCCCACGAGGCTCTTCTTGCTGACAACTGACATTAGTAGCAAAACTTGAACAAGAGAACTGTCACTTTGTCCTTCTGCTGGCCTAGTCCTCTTATATGACTGGAATCTTGCTTTTAATGAGTGGGCTTCCTAATCTGTTGGTTCTGAAAATGAGGATTGGCTGCCATTAGACTTCACTCGAGTTGTTTGCTCTTATGCATATTGCCCCTCTCCACTATAATCTGTTTCATGCTTCACGTCAACTCCATTTAATTCTAGCCGCCAAGGTGCATCGAACAGTGTGTTGGTCGGTCTCGGGCACATACTAGATGGTAAATGATGGCAAGTGCTGTTTTTATTTATAGCAGTGAAATGTATGAGCTGAGCTGTTGCTTAGAAGTGGGGTATCTCCTTTATTGTATCCTAGGCCTATATTTGGGCTAATGGTGACCACCAGCAATTGTTACATAGCCACGTCATCAGAGAAGAAAATGTCCCCTTGAAGTTCTATTTAACGAACTCTCTTCTCGGTCCCTTTGGTGTAGGGGGCATTGCTTGCAGCTCCCTTGGCCGCTGCTTTTGGAGTGATTTTGATGCTTCTGTTCTTCTCAAGTCACCAGTGCCAACTAAAGGAGCCCAGCCAGCCGCTGCCGCTGCCCAGCGAGGGCTCAGTGGAAGACGAGGAGCTTCCCGCCCAGAGATACGAAAGAGATTTAGTTCAGAAACTGAAGGTCCTCAGGCACGAGCTTTCACTTCAGCAACCCCAGGCTGGTCATTGCCGCATTGAAGTATCCAGAGAAGAAATATTTGAGGTATGGCATTTAGTGCGGCAGGCAGGCACAGACTCTGCATTCATGTTAATAGACAAGTGAGGTGATTCAGCCTGAGGAGCCGCCCTAGCAGCCTTTGTCTGTGAGGCGGCGCTCTGAGGGGACTGCTCTGTGAGCGGCTTCTGCATTTCCGTGAGCTCTTCTTTCTGTTTGGCATTTCAGGTATGGAGTTTATTGCTCTGTGAAATGCAGGGTTGTGCCCATGTAGAGAGGGCACTGTATTTACTCCTGTGTTAACAGTTTAAAAACACAGATGGTTTATGAGGTGGAAACCTAGAGATATATGCAGAAGGGGGAATAAAGCCCTTTGCCTACATTGTGCAGATTATATATTCCTGCAATCTTCCGTGTCCTCAGAACCAGTCATTCCTTCTGGCCTCTCATGAAATTTGATGAAATAGCACAGCCTCCTCAGAGGAGCTCAGTGGCCAAGCGGCCACGTGTCTCTTCTGGAAACAGGATGATCAGGTGGTTCCTGGGAAGGCCTCCGCCCCATATACAGCCCCCTGCGGGATCAGGGTCCCTAACCAGGCAGGACCCTCTTGTGGACAGAGCCCTTTCTCAAGGAACGTGAGCATAAATTGAAATCTCAGCTGTGTTTGGTCCATAGCCTGCCTGCCTGCCTTGGTGGAATCCTTGGCAGACATGAGCCAATGAGAGTGGGTAAGAACTGGACACAGGTTCTTATGGGGCTGCAGCCTGAGGGCCCAGCACCTCCACAGCGAAGGGCACAGGATGCGCCAGGGCCGTGCGTGGTCCTCCTCGCAGCCAGCACTGGACGAGTGGGGCTGCTGAAGTGCTCGGCTCTGCCCGTTGAGCAGTCTTAAGTGCTTGCCAAGGTTAGAAAAGAGCGGAACTACTGTCATTTTGATGCCAGATCATTTCCACTCAACCTCCTCTTTCCCTCTTGGGATGTCAGAGTTTGAATTACATTAAAGTTAAAGCATGAAATGATTTTTAAGTGCCTTATCATTTGAAAATATTTATAAACACTTAGCTGGTTCTACTCAAATGCTGAATCTGAAGGAATATTGGGCTGACCACGTGTTTTCTGTTTTGGCTGAGCTTCAGGTATAAAAACAGGCTCAGAATTCTTTTAATATTCAGACTTTCTAATGATGTCTTCATTTTGGTTAAAATATGAAGCCTGGCCAGTGGCTCAGTTGATTGAGCATCATCCCAGGCACCAAAAGGTTGCCGGCTTGATTCCTGATCAGGGCACATACCTGGGTTTCAGATGTGATCCCCAGTCAGGATGTGTACAGAAGGCAACCGATCTATGTTCTCTCTCTCTCCCTCTCTCTAAGCATATCCTCGGGTGAGGATGTAAAACACACACATACATACATATAAAGTGCTTATAGGACACATTGAAATTGTGTAGGGAAGATCAGCTCTACAGAGGACATTTGTTCTGTTGTTAGTGATTGTGCTGAAAATAAGTGTTTCCTTTAGGTACAGTGTTACCTAGTACACGTTTATTTTGTTGTGGTTTCTGATCTAGAAACAGTGGGAGAAAAGTTGATGATACAGGGTGGAGCAAAAGTAGGTTTACAGTTATGAGTATGCAAAACACAGTTTATTATTGTATAATTATTTATTAATTATTGTATTATTTCCATACAAACACCTATAAACCTACTTTTGCCCCACCCTGTATAAACATGCTAAATAGGAACCAGCTAGAACTTGGATTTGAATGGATACTATTTTGAATCAGGTTCCATCAAGTTTAGCATATAAAAGCTAAATGTTTGTCCGACCATCCAACTGGTAGCTATGACATGCACTGACCACCAGGAGGCAGATGCTCAGTGCAGGAGCTGCCATGATGCACACTGGCCATTTAAAAAGAAACAGCACCTCGGACCTGGTACCAACGCACTGGCCATTTAAAAATAAATGGCACCAAGGACCTGGTGCCAACAAACAAACACTCAGCTTCCCCCAACACTCACCACCACCCCAGAGCAGCACCCCACCAAATCGCAGCCAATGCTGCCAAAACCTCATGGTGCAAAATGCAGCCCAGCCCAGCCCAGCATGGAAACAGGCACTGTGGGTGCCCGGCTTCCTCTCCCTCGAGACTAGCTTCCTTGGAGTTTCTTCAGCCCAGGAACACGACTTGCTTTATAGCCAGGTGCAAACATTTTACACTTTAACCAAATGTCTGTGAAGCGTTTTCCCCTACCTCATCTCATTTAATCCTCTCAGAAGTCTTGGAGTAGGTAGATTCCTATTTTCTTTTCATTAGCCAGAAAATGGAGATTGAGAAAGTTTAGAAACTTGACCTGACTGAAAAGAAGTAAGAAATGGTGGACCTTGAAAATGACTTCAGGTTTTCTCACTGCACAGAATATAGTCAAACACTGCTGCAGTTAAATATTTCACCCTTTGTTCTCCCTGCATGATCTACAATAATAATCTGCTTCGTGTTGATATTTACTGCTGTGTTGCAGACAATTACCTGAAAGAGAAGTTGGGGTGCTTCACTGGGCTGGAAAAAGTTTAGCTAAATCAGAAAGGAGGTCTAATTAAGCAAGTTTGTTCTATATATATAAAAGGCTAAGTTGACTCACACATGCATAATACATATAAAGATCTCACTGCTGCCAGTTGCACGTGTGTGTTTCATTCTGTCATTGTCGATTGTGAATTTGGTTGACACTTCTATTATAGAGAAAGGGCGAATAGCAATATTAAAATATTTCTTCTAATTTCATTTCAATGTGCATGAATCCGTGCACCAGGACACTATCAATAACCTTTCATCTTTTTATTACTTTAAGAAAAGTTCTTCTCTCTAAAACTGTTAATTTTTACATATAGGAGTCTTATCGCCAGATAATGAAGATGCGTCCAAAAGACTTGAAAAAACGACTAATGGTGAAATTTCGTGGAGAAGAAGGTTTGGATTATGGTGGAGTGGCAAGGTGAGAGGCTAATTTAGTCACCCTTTCTGCTGCATGCTCTTCAGCATAGCTATAATAAAACACAATCCTGCATTCCACAAAGTAATAAACTCCATACCTGAAATGCCAAACAGAAAGAAGAGCCAGCGGAAATGCAGAAACGGCTCACAGAGCAATCGCCTCAGAGCACCGCCTCACAGACAAAGGCTGCTCGGGGTGGCTCCTCAGGCTGAATCACCTCTTCCTTTACCACACCTCCCCCCCTCAGTTCTGAATCCATCTGGGGTAGGGGTGCAGGAAAGCCTGCATTTTCTCTCCTGTGCTCACATGGTGCTGCCTCTCCACAGGAGATACTTTTCAAGATAGCCCCAAGTTTCTTCCTCCATCTAGAAACCATCTTTCTTTTGGCCAGTGTAACTTCTGTTGGCTTTGATAGCACTAATTCCATTTCCTGGCAAGAGGCTTAGGCTTCCACTCCCCTTTCCAGGTGAGAATCTTCCTCCTCAGTCCTTCACACTTGTTCTAACAATGCAGGCCTGACTGCTTCCACTTTCTTGTCTGTGCTATTTCCCTTATAGTCTCAAGAGTTCAGTACCTCAGACTGTTTCAATTTACCATTATTTCTTTGCATGGCTGGTGTTCTGTATTCCTAGGCACACGTGTGAATAGCTTGATTGGTTTGGTAGTTCTCTTCTGCCTTTTCCACAGTTACAAGTCTCCCACCTGGAGCTGGCTTTGTGTGGCTCCCTTGAGTAACATGGTGCTTGAGGGGAGGTAAATGTGAACCCTTGCTCTGCCACCTCCAGTTTGATCTCACGTTGCAGTTTCACCCCTTGGATTCTTCCTCGGGTCCAGATGGGATCATATCCATCCAGACATGAAGGAGAAATTGAAACTATTATAGGCACTGGAATGGCACTGGGTGTTAGAACCGTGGCAACCTCGGTACTTGAGTTCTGACTAGGAAAGAATTCAGAGCCAAGACCCAAACTATAAGAGAACATTTATTTATAAAATCACAGAGGTAGTAGAATTAATAGAAGAAATGGGCTTAGGAAACAAGTTATAGAGGCAAAGGAAGGGCCTTGGAGCTTGTAAGTGAGGAAGGCAATGGTAAGGAGCCTGGGGTGGGGGAGGGAAAGGCGAGAGCTTGCTGGGTCCTCTGTCCTAAGGGTTTTGAGGGTGGGGTGGAGAGTTTAGGGGAGGCCCCAGGGGCTCTTAATAGACTAGTCAGCAGCTTTCCAGGTGTGTCCATTCAGGGTTTAGGTCTCCACTGATGGATTGGCCAGCACCAGGGTAGCGGGTCAGTGCAGCTGGTCCTGAGGTTAGCAGTGGTGTTGCTGGTCTGGTTGTGCTGCTTTTCTGGGCCTGGAGCTGAGGCCTGGATGTTATCTCTGGGGGAGAAAGGTCAGGGGGTCCAAACCAGCCATATGCTAGGGGAGGAAAGTTCATCCTGGGGACGAGGTCCCACCCTACAATTGTCCTTTGTTAGGCACCCGGCGCTTTTCAACCTGGTGACCTTCTGTACCTGACCCATCGTCCTTGCTCTGCTCATGTCTGTCTAACTGCCTACCACAAAACCACATATGTGTGTGTATTCATCATCTGCTCACTGAGAATCAGTCTATACTCATTTTCCCAGTGTTTGGTTCTGAACCATTGCTGTTCTCTCTCTTCTGCCTGTATTGCTCTTCCCTTCCCACTTCCAGAACATTCCTAGTATGCCTCTTTCCCTTGTCCCTGGCTTGGTCAGAATGTTTGCTTGTATTTTAATCACTTCCTGTCTAGACAGTTGCAGGTCCCTGGTTTTTATGAAAAAGATTCTTCTCAAATCCAAACTCCCAAACTTGGGGATGAATCAATGTTGGGAAATTTTGCCTTTCTAGTCAAGAGACTTTACAAGATTTGGAGTACATCTCCCTGGCAGGTGCTTTCTGTTCTTTGGAGTTCGATACATTAATTTGTTTTGGCTTGGTTGTTTTATGTATTCTCACAATTCCCTTCGATTATTTGCATTTGTGCTTATCCTTTCCTAGTCTTTCTCAATTGTCTGTCTTTTCTATTTGAAAGAGTGAAGACTTCGAGAATAAAATTTGGGGCTGCTATCTTAATGAGATGTATCTATTTGACAGGAGTTTGAATAGAATAAAAGGCTGTGTGTGGAACTGCCACAGGTGTCTGTATAAGGTTCCCCATACCTGGGCTCTCACAGCCCAGTCGGAGCAATCAAATCACACAGCTTCTATTTAGAGTGCTCTTTACATTTTGATTTTTTTTTTCATAGCGAAATAATTCAAACAGAAAGGAATTCAGAGAATAATTCATTCTTATACACCCCATCCAGATTTTTAAACTCTTAGAATATTTTTAAGCTTTAAACTAGTTTTTAAGATTATAAACATGATAAATGTTTATGCAAAAAAAATAATTCAACAGAAACTTATGAAGGGGAAAAGACAGTCTTAAACAATCCCTGCCTCTCTAGGTTGTGACATATTTTCTCCTTATTTAAATGTTATTACATGTTCCAATTGATCAGAAATTTAAAAACTAGAAAGCAGAAGAAATGAAAATGCCCCAGAATGCTAATTCTCAGGTTAACCACTGTCCCCGGCTGGTGTAAGCCCTTCCTGTCTTCCTGTGCTCTGCATATGCATCTGTGCTGCTTTGTGTGTGCGTGTATGTACACACACTTTTTAAATACAAGTAGGATCAGACTGCTCTTTATTGCACTTCTGTCAGGTATTACCACACCTTTAACACCATCACCGGAGGCTCTGATCTTTGCAGAGCAGCAGAGAAACCCTTAGCTGAGGGCCAGGAACACTGGCCAGTGAACAGCTGCAAAGACTGGACTTGTAAGGCGATAGTCATTCTTTTAATGGAGTCCCGTCTCAGGGTCCTCGATTTAATTCCACGTCAGGGTTTTTGTTGCTGTGGAAGATGCTGGGATTCCGATGTGGCATTTTGGGGGCCACGATTTAGGCCGGCACACGTCCTTCAGGTCACCTTCTCTACATAGCGTGTCAACCACAGTTCTTTCTGAGCTTCAGAGTAGTGGGCATTTTGGCCAGAAAAGCCATTTCTGATACTACCAGCCCAGTGCTTACTTCTTCAGGCTTGTTTTCCCAGCATGTTCAAATCACATGCTCACAGCCAGGTATTTGTACCAGTTTTGGCCTCTAGTGGTTCAGTCCTTTTGTTATGATCTAAAACAAGGAGTTTTCGCACATATAACGTGTTTTGGTGTCTGCTGTTGTTGCTGTTGTCCCCAGGGAGTGGCTTTATTTATTGTGCCATGAAATGCTGAATCCATATTACGGGCTCTTCCAATATTCTACGGACAACATTTACATGTTGCAAATCAACCCAGATTCGTCCATCAACCCTGTAAGTATTAATGAGTGAATAAGCAGGGAATTAAGTTGGGGAATTTTTAGAATGGATTTTCATTTCCATCTCAATTTTGGGTTTATTCACTGTAGTCTTACTCAAGTTCTGTGGTAATAAAAGGCAGAGTGAGAACCGGATTAAGATGGGTGATTTCAGTCCTGTGCTTCTGTGGCTGGGATCACTGGGTGTGCTGTTTTCAAGGACAAGAGGGACTGAGCTGCTCATCTGCTCAGCACTTCATTGCTATTGAGGGAGCCCTGGCGCCTTTGTTGGCAGCATCATTCTGAGAAGTGGGTTACGAAGTCTGTCCTCCTTCCAGTACAAGTTGGAACATTCCCATAAGTGACCTTTTTGGCACTGGTGCTAACACCCTTAGTTCTTGTTTTAAAGAAGAGTGGCCGACCCAAGGTTGGACTCTCCTGTGGGCCATGTCCTGCCTCAGCGCCGCCACGTGCACGGCCCCCAGGCAGGGTCCTGGGCCAGTGCCCCTCTGCAGGCATCGGTGTGACAACCTTTTACCAGCATGGAAACTAAGTGTTGACTAATTATCTGATTATAATTCCAACCTGAAAGTAGAAATGTGAGGTTCCCTTTTTAGTTAAAAACCAGACAGCTCTGGTTTTAAAATGGTTCTTTTACTTGGGTTATTCATACTTATTTTCCTCTGTGTTCCTTTTGTTTTTCTTATTTTTTGTGTGACTGGGGGAGGCATGGCAGAGGAAGAGGGGGAGTTGCCCTTTGCTCTTTATTTCTCTTTAGTTCAATGGGAAGAAGCGTGACCTGTACAGAGCTCAGAGCCCTGCTCACAGAAGGGCCCATGCTTGGTTTGAATCTCTGCTATTGCCATATTGGAATTCTTAATGTTTTTTAATAAGGGGTTGTGCATTTTCATTTTGCACTGAGTCCCACAAATCATGTAGCAATTCTGAGGAAAATGTGTTTGAACTACGAGCAAATAAAATGTTCCGATGAGCTGTACAAAAGATGTGCTCTCGGTGTTGACTAACCACGCAGCCGTCTTCATGTGGCCAGGAGCACAGCCTGGGACTGACACACTCGGTGTTGCTGCCTGTGGGACAGTTCTCCGAAGCTGGAGAAATCGCAGGATAGTCACCTTGACTATTTTCAAAATGAATTTATGTTCTCTGGTGCCCCCTACAGGACCATTTGTCTTATTTCCATTTTGTTGGTCGGATCATGGGTCTGGCTGTGTTCCATGGACACTACATAAATGGGGGTTTCACAGTCCCCTTTTATAAGCAGCTACTGGGGAAGCCCATCCAGCTCTCTGACTTGGAATCGGTGGACCCAGAACTACATAAGAGCCTAGTGTGGATTCTGTAAGTATTGACTCACTGTTCAGTTCATTGAACATTTATATAGCCACTTGTCTTAGTGTACGCCCAATACATTTGTGTATGTGAGTGTGTGTGTGTGTGTGTGTGTGTGTGTGTGTGTGTGTGTGTGTATTTTGGGGATGGGTGTGAAATTTGAGAAGAGAAATAAACTATTGTTTTATGACCAGAAATATAAAAGTAGTCCAGCTAGCGTGGTTCAGTTAGTTGAGTGTCGTCTAGTGCACCAAAAGGTTGCTAGTTCCATTCCCGGTCAGGGCACATGCCCGGGTTTCAGGCTTAATCCCTGGTAGGAAGAATACGGAAGGCAACTGATCAATGTTTCTCTCTCTTTCTCTCCTCTCTCTCTCTCCCTCCCTCTCTCTCTCTCTCTCCCTCCCTCCCTCCCTCTCCCTCTCCCTCTCTCCCCTTTCTTTTCTCTAAGCATGTCCTCAAGTGAGGATTTGAAAAAAAGAAAAAAAGAAATATAAAAATAGATTTAACAAAAAAACCAATACTTAATTAACTTTTCCTCATTGATGTTTGGCCAGTTTCTTTTCATGGACTAGTTTCTTTTGTTATTTCCTTGAATTATTAACATATAACAAATATTAATCCCCAGGCCAGTGGTGGTTTGGGTTTTGTTTGTTTTTTAATGATTGATTTTAGTGAGAGAGGAAGGATAGGAGGGGGAGAGAGTGAGAAACGTCAATTTGTTGTTCCACTTATTGATGCATTCATTGGTTAATTCTTGTATGTGCCCTGACCGGGGATTGAACCTACAACCTTGGTGTATCAGGACGATGCTCTAACCAACTGAGCTTCCCAGGTTGGTTGGTGGGTTGGTTTTTGACACTCTAAGGTGTCACCAGTTGATCTCTAGAGGGAAAGTATCAAAAACAAAATTAGCATCAAAGTATCTTGTATCTTGTATTTTGATACGAGAAAGTATCAAAACAAAATTAATATTTGGTCACCTTGTTTTAGAATGACCCTAAACACTCTCTTAAAAGCACAGGCACAGTGACAGGTGAACCACAGGCTCTGGCAAAGGGAGAGGCTGACGAACTGACGGGCCTCTCGCCTGTTCAGCGTCTAGTCAGCCTCATGTCATGTCGTCCTGAAAGGAACAGTGTGCGGGCCAGGCCTCCTCCTGCAGGAGCTCCTTCACTCCGTTTCAGGAGATATGGCCGATCAGGGGCTAGTTCTCACTTTCCAGTGCTGCTTTGACCTGATGAGCTTGGAAAGGCCGCCTCACAGGGGACAGTGTTTCTGCGGAGTGGCTTCCTGCAGGCGGGTCTCCCCTTTATGACTCCTTCTTCCTGCTCATAGACGCCGTTTCTAAGGCAACCAGCTGTCCCGTACAGTCATAGGCTGGTAGTGCTGTCCCTCCTCGAGCGCCTCTGGTCTGGCAGGCAGTGACGCGCTCTCCCAGCTGCTCCTGTGGTAGCGAAGGGGTGACTGACACCGTCCCCTGTCCTGCAGAGAGAACGATATCACGCCCGTGCTGGACCACACTTTCTGTGTGGAGCACAACGCTTTCGGGAGGATTCTTCAGCATGAGCTGAAACCCAACGGCAGAAACGTCCCCGTCACGGAGGAGAACAAGAAGGAATACGTCCGGTAATGTTGTGGGGGCCGGGTGGTCGCCGGTCGGGACACCCAGGTGCCCGGGACCGTCCTGGGCGTGGCTGGGTTCATGTCGGGCTTGTGGGGGCTCCTTTGCTGTGTGAGGTTTACTGTCCCCACCAGCGCTGTGACCAGAATCACGTTATAGAAGAGACTTCCCAACGTGAAGTTCAGCAGTAGGAGCTCTTCCTGGGGAGACCTGGTGACGGGAGAATAATGACCCCCAAGTCCCAGAGGGGAAGGACTGTGAGGCCACCACCCGGTCTGTGTGTGGAGGTACCAGAGCCCAGGAGAGAGGAGGAAGCCCAGCCGTCCCTTGAGATCAGTCTCCAAGAAGTCTCCTCCATTGTAGTCTGTTCTCCCACCTCTTCAGGCAAATAAACGACTAGTAGCAGTGTAGAAACATGGGCATCTTGCTCTGGCCAGTGTGCTCAGTGATTAGTGTCAGCCCATGCACCAAAGGGTCACAGGTTCGATTCCCAGTCAGGGACACGTACCTGGGTTGCAGGTTTGATCCCTGGCCCTGCTCAGGGCGCATGCGGGAGGCAACCAATCGATGTGTCTCTCTCACATCAATGCTTCTCTCTCTCTCTGATAGATAGATAGATAGATAGATAGATAGATAGATAGATAGAGGTATATAATATAGATATCCCTTCTCCCCTTCCTCTAAAAATCAATGGAAAAAATGTCCTCAGGTGAGGATTGACAAAAAAAAAAATACAAACATGGGCCTCTCTGTGTGCTCCAGCTGTCAGACTGGTGTGTGGTTCTCACCGCATCCTGCACTTCATTTTCAGGTATACTTTTAAATTGTACCAGTTGCTGGGACAGTCAGGGTAAACCTACTGCTGTTTCTAGCAATGAAGCAGAACATACGAGGGCACTGGTATATTTTAACCTGTGTGGTTTATTTTAACCTGTAACTTAGGTCAGGGCTTCCATCTGGCAGGTGTCAGGGCGGCCAGGTGGCAAGGTGTGAGACAGCAGATGTCAGAACCTGCTCATGGAGAAAAGTTTTTTCATGAACTATTGGAATTGCTTCCAACCTGTGACTTTTCCTTCCAGGTTATATGTAAATTGGAGGTTTATGAGAGGAATCGAAGCCCAGTTCTTGGCTCTTCAGAAGGGGTTTAATGAGCTCATTCCTCAGCACTTACTGAAGCCCTTTGACCAGAAGGAACTAGAGGTGTGTGCTCCACTTGCTGGGCCAGGGCAGGGCTAAAGGCGCAGGTGGGGTCCATGTGTTGGTTTGCACCCTGCTGAAGAGTGAGGCTGCACTGGAGTGTGTGGGGGCTCCCGGGGGAACGCAGGGCTAGTGCGAGAGGGGCGTGGAGGGTGTTTGAGCCGGTTAGAAGGCCAGGTATCTACGCGGTGGCAGCGAGTCGGACAGCCTGGGGCCTGTTCCAGGTGCGCTGTGGCTTCTGCGATCTCGGTCTGTAGCAGTGAGTCCCCTCAGAGCCAGGAAAGTGTCTCATTGCCGCCAGCTTCTCCCACACGTCAGCTTTCTGCTTTCATTCTGCTCTTACTAGACTCAGAACAGTTTACTGTCTTCTAGTCGTACTTCACGTACTTGACACAGCACGGCATTCATCACTTACCTGTCTCTGTTTGGGGCCAAATAGCTCCAGGCTTTAAAGTGATTCTCTTCTCTGCCCCCATGAGGTGCAGGGAACAGCCTCCTCGGAGGAGCAGCTGCAGGAGACGACCTTTTACTAGTAAGCAAGTGGCAGAAGCCGCGCACACCCTTGCTTCAGCCCCTCTCAGGCTTCAGCTCCCCATGTCATTGCCTGGGGGTCACGGAGACATGGCCCACCCTACACTCAGCTCCGGGCAGTCTTGCCAGTGGTTCTTGCTCCCCCGGGCAGTGCAGAACCACACCCCACCGGGCGGAGAGAGAGCGCCCATCAGGAGCCGCCAGGTGGTCCTGGGGGAGTGCTGTGCGTGGGGCCTCCTGTTGGTCTCTCTCTATTCTTGTCTCAATGTGTGTCTAGTTTATTTGGACATAGTTGCTCCTTTGCACTGGGAACCAGCTTTAACTCCTTTCTTGTCCTGGGACCGTGGAGGCCTGGCATGGTACCCGTTACACATTTAGAAATGACCGCCTCTAACTCTTCCCAGCTGATCATCGGCGGCCTGGACAAGATAGACCTGAGCGACTGGAAGTCCAACACGCGGCTGAAGCACTGCGCGGCCGACAGCAACATTGTCCGGTGGTTCTGGCAGGCGGTGGAGACCTTTGACGAGGAGAGGAGGGCCCGGCTCCTGCAGTTCGTGACGGGGTCCACCCGCGTCCCCCTCCAAGGCTTCAAGGCTTTGCAAGGTGACTGACGTGGAGGCGGGGCTACCGGCACCATGTGGACACAGGGCGTGTAGGGAGACCTGGGGTTTGGGGGGGTTGGCTTCCTGAAATGCCACTAGGAAGCGGTGTGACCTGCGTGCGTTCATAGCCAGTGGTCAGCCTGGCGAAGGGGCTCCCCTGGCGGAGGGCACTCTCTCTCTCCCGGTGGCGGGCTCTTGGTTGCCGTTGTGTCTGCTGTCCTTGCCCACGCTGAAAGAAAATACCCACAAAGAGCAGGAGAGGCTGTCAGCAAAACAAAGCCCAGCTCTCACACCCTGTCCAGTCCCCGGGACTCAGCGGTGGGCGGGCCTGCGTGCCCAGGTCTGTGCAGCAGCAGTGCCCACTCGGGGCTGAGCCAGGACGGCCCGAAGAGCCCGATGCTTCCCCTTCCCCTACAGAATTGATTGACAGAGGGAGGGCACAAAGGATGGGTTTGGGGGAAAGAAAGCGGTTTTGACGTGTACTGAGGACAAGAGCGAGGCCTGGCCTACGCACCAGCAGACTGAGCACCGTGTGGGTCGTTAGCTCCAGGATCCCCGGTCCTCAGGTTCCTGAGCTACAAGTGGGCGGCCATCCGGGCAGGCTCTCTCGTCGGGTCCCGTTCACCGTCGGAGTGGCCGTGGCTGGAGGGGGAGGCTATGGACACAGACGAGTTTGTGCCGTGGGAGGAGGTTGGCGGCTCGTGTTCAGCCCGAGCAACAGGAAGGTCCTCACAGGCTGTCCCTGGGGTTTGTATGACTAGATTTTTGTCGCTTGATAACCCCGACAGCCAGAGGATTAAGGTGAGGAATATAATAGAATTTAGAAAGTGGAACTTTGCATATTAATAGTGACAGCAGATATATTTCATTTATAAAACAGTCTCTGTACTTTTCCGTATCTTACGGATTTCTGAGTGAGAAGTCACTTCCATTCCCTTGGACTTGGTTCCAGGCAGTTGTGTCTGCTCCTTTCTCCGCCGTGCCTCTGCCGGAAGCATTCCGGCTGCACGTCTGCTTTCTCACACCACTGCTGCCCTCCGCCCACAGTGGGCCTGCTTGCTGAACATTCCTGTTACACGTAAACCCCTGGTGATTTAGGGTTTTATCCTTCAAATTCCCCCCTGGGGCTTAGGGGGTTCTCCCAGGCTTTGCTCCCTGCCTGTGACTTTCTAAACGCCCGGCGTTAGTCACGGGAGGGCTGTGCAGCTGCCACGGGGCTCGGTGACCCCAGGGAGGACAGCGCCTGGGCTGGCGCACGGGCCCAGGGGGTCGAGGCTCAGCCTCTGACGCGCAGTAACTAGAATGTTGTCTGTAAGGTTCTACAGGCGCCGCAGGGCCCCGGCTGTTCACCATCCACCTGATCGACGCCAACACAGACAACCTTCCGAAGGCCCACACCTGGTAAGGACAGCGCCGTGCCGTCGCCGTGCCGCAGTGCGCTCTCTGCACGGCGCTAACCTGGGTCTTATTGGTGCACTCGGCGCTTCCTTTGTGCCGAGTCCCAGGGACAGCGGGCAGTGGCACCACAGGCAGGGGCACCGTGGGCAGTGGGACGAGCACTTGGCAGCTTCCACTTGCGAGGGTCATCGGAAGTCTCTTCCGTGAGACCAGTTCTGTCGTGAGATGTGATGTTGGCCGTGACTCCGACGGGCTCCCGCCTGCTCTTCCCTGGGTCTCGCTGCTGTGTGTGCGTGTGCACACGTGTGCCTGTCAGCAGGGAGAGTGTAGCCTTTAGGTTGGACTCACTGGTCTTCCCTTAGCTGACATCCCTGGCGCCCAATTTCTCTCTCAGACTCTGCCCGTGACGACGCACCTGCACTGAAAACTGTAACCTCAACATGAACCTTATGTGCAATGGGTTCTTTCCTTTGTGGCTTAAAAATCAAAGGAACAGGTCAGGAGAGCCAGTCCCACGTGTTGTCGATGCCTCGGATGTGCTGGCAGGATCGGGACTGGGAACCCCAGGATGTGGGTTCAGATGCCGTTGGCACCGTGCCTTTGGGCCTCCGTGTGTGCGAAATGGCTGTGAGAGCTGAAAAGCGGTGCCAGGCTGTGAGGCTGCCGAGCCCCGAGCAGGTGGCAGGATGGCGCGGTGCGCACGCACCGGGGCCGCGCTCCTCCTCGGAATGCGTTTCCTTTAACAGTTTAGTGCTTGGAGCGAAACGGGTGTGAAAAATCTCTGATGCTAAAGCTCCCAAGAAAAGGCTGCAACACCATTCCCCGGACTCTTTCTTGACAAAAGCCATCCTCGGTTGCTCAGCCCTTAGTAACTCAACAGCCACTCTGTGTGCTCTGGTCACATTTTGTATTTTTTTATTTGTTGAGATAATAGCTTCTTAGGTGTTTTTTTATGTGGTTTTTTTTTGCACAAACATTGGAAATGAATTTCCCCATAGAAATACTGAGTCAGAAATGTAAGGCTCATTTGATCCATCAGAGATTTGACATTTTATTAGTTTTGCAGGGAATTTTCCAGGCTGCCCATCTGGGGCTCCGGTCGTCACAGAGGAACGGACATGCGGCAGGTCGTTAGTGGTGATTGGTTTGCCTGCCGGCCACAGGGCTGGTCTGCAAAGGTGGCGTTCCTGGCGCTGTCATTCCTCCCAAGACAAACAGCAAACAGGACCAGTTGAGAGCTTTGTCCTGATATCCCCAGGAAATAGTTACTTAGTTTTACTTTGGTTTTAAAGATGTGTTTAATATATATATTTTTATTGATTTCAGAGAGGAAGGGAGAGGGAGAGGGAGAGATAAAACAACAACGATGAGAGAGAATAATGGATCAGCTGCCTCCCGCACACCCCTGCTGGGGATTGAGCCTGCAACCCGGGCATGTGCCCTGACCTGGAATCGAGCCGCGACCTCCTGATTCATAGGTCCTCACTCAACCACTGAGCCACGCCAGCCAGGCTGCTATGTGTTGATTTTTAAATCTTTGCGTTAGAAGCAGAAAAGTACAAAAGGGAAGTGTCCACCACAAACATTGGAAATGAATTTCCCCATAGAAATACTGAGTCAGAAATGTAAGGCTCATTTGATCCATCAGAGATTTGACATTTTATTAGTTTTGCAGGGAATTTTCCAGGCTGCCTGCCTGCCCGCCCTTGCAGCAGGACCTAGGGCCAGACTCTCCCAGCAATGACTCTCACCCTTTTGTCCTGTTCCAGCTTTAACCGGATCGACATTCCACCTTATGAGTCTTATGAAAAGCTCTACGAGAAGCTGCGGATAGCGGTGGAAGAGACCTGTGGGTTCGCTGTGGAGTGAAGAGCAACCAAAGGCAACAGATTCTAGCTCACGACCACCAGACCAAAGCCTGCCGCTTTCTGCGCGCCGCCTGCAAAGCGGGCTGAGGCACGGGATTCTCGAGGACCTGGGGAGGGCGTCTCCCCGCCGCGGTGTTGGGGAGCAAGGGGCAGGGGACTTTGGTTCATGGCTCCCACCCACCTTTCCTCCTTTATGACAGTGCTCCCACCCCTCCATCACCCATCCAATAAAATGCAGCCAGGGTTAAATCTGGCTTCGCTCACACAGGATATTCTGCTCCAGTTGTAACATCTGGCCATAGGCTCACTGCCCTGTGGTGTTTACAGGAGGATCTCCCCGAGTCATGAACTGAGCTCAGCCTTCTGCGGGTTTGGACCTGGTAGCTACGCTAGCGATTCTGCCTCAGAACAGTCCTGAGGCCCCTTTCCAGTTCAGCAGCTCAAATTCCAAATCTCACGTCCTAGCAGCCTGCTCTGGTCGCAGATTAACTCTCACCTGAAAACTTACTGTAAAATACATGCTCCCTGCGACTCTGCCACCGCAGGAGATTCAGTCCTAAACGTGCTTCCCTTTGTGAAAGTAAAGGAACAGGGGCAGCGTTAGCTGGAGGCCAGGGTCTTTCTTTCCAGGGTGTCCTGATTGAAAATTTTGTTTTGCGGAGAGAGAAATGATCTTTCCTTTTAAGAGTCCTTTTTGCCACATTATCTACCCAGTTTAAAATATTTTCCCAGTAGAAACACCACGTAACCGAGCTCCCAAGCTGTGGCTCCTGCCCCGCAGAGAGTTTAGCTGGGCCATTCGGATACTAACAAACTATTATGCGGAAATTGCTAACAGCTGCACTAATAAAGCAAAATTCTGTTACGATAGCTGCTGGTTTGGTGCAGACGAGCTTAAAAGGGAGAGAGGGAACGGGTAACCTCAATGACCGAAATCCACCCCAAGTTACTGTTTTACAAGAAGAGGGTGTGGGTGTGACCCTGACAGCAGAGGGAGAGCCGCCCTGACCCATGCCCCACGTCAGGTGGTGCCGCTGACAAATGCCACTTGATTTACTTGCCCTGATGTCTTCATGTGATGAGCAAGGCCAAAGCACGCCGAGACCCGAAGTTCCTAGCGCCGTTTTCCAATTTGCACAAAAGTTTGGACAGTGTTTTAACAAGCAGCTTGATTCCAGGGAGCTGAGCTCCGTGAAGAACGGCAGCAGCCACCGGTTTTCCCGTCTGGGTTTTGTTGTTTCTGTTTAGGGGCAAGTGCAGGGTCATTCATTAGCGAGACGTTTCCCTGTTGAAATTTCGCTGTTGAGGCTTCTGAATTAGCCGTTGGGATCCGGCTGTGGGTCAGGTGGGTTTGGAAGGAGCGTTTGGCCAGCTGTCCCGCTGTTCTGCTGTCACTGATGCTGGACCGTGGGGTGTGGAGGCACACCTGCTTCTGCACCTTGCGGGGTTCCCTTGGCTTGCCCTAGAGGCAGTCTGTCATTTGACGTGGGCGTGCGCAGACCCTCCCCCTGCACAGAGGTCTGTCCAGTTTGTGGATTCTGAGAGCTGAGCCTCTGGGCTACTTTCTGGGGCTCAGATAGAAGGGATGTCACGTGTGACTTGCTGTAGAAGGAAAACGTAGTCCAGTCACTAAGTCCCGGCCGAACTGTGGGCTTTGTCTCCAGGAGTTCCGCTTGGTCCCCGTGGGGCTTGTCCTGTGCCTCATTTTCCACGATGCTTTCTGAGGGCATCCTAGACGCTCAGTGATTCCCTCCGGTCCTCATAATCTTCTGGAAGGAGGAGGGAATGGAAAGTACAGACCTCCCACCAGGTAGGTCCTCTCTCCCGTGAGCCTGCCCGGTGGGAGGAGGAGAGGACATCCGTCAGGGCTGGCAGGCCTCGCGGCGGAGGTAGGACCTTGCCTGTGGCGGGAAACGAGGGTCCAGAGGTGGGAAGGACTTGGAGGCAGGAAGGTTGCATTTGACTCCTTTATAACCGCCTTCCTGCCGTGGGAAGGAGCCAGGGAACCATCCTCCGAATCGGCACCTGCCGGCCCCGCCTGTTCTCGCCGGTCAGGTGTTGCCTCAGTGAGATCCAGAGGGTCATGTCTGGTCCTCCGGGAGCTGCTTGGGGCAGGAGTCACCCGCCCATAAGGCCTGGGTCTCCGCTTTTGTACTTACACTTGCCCGTGGGCGCCTCGCCAGCTGTGCTACGAGAAGCCTAGAAAGCAGACCTTCCCAGAGCTCGTTTACTCTTGCCAAACAGGCCTACCTGTCCGTGGCATTGCACTTCTAGAACCTTAAATACTGACAATTGTTTGGGCCTTTTGAACCACCCCAAAGAATAGTGTAGCACGCAGTTGGTAAAAGCTCCCATGACTAACTCTGGGTCTGCAGGAGCCCTTCACACGCCTGCTCTCCTCTGTCCCTTCTCGGGATCCCAGAGGCCAGCCCGGCCCGTGCCTCTGCCCAGACGCTCCGCCCGACTTTCAGGCTTGCCCTCACCAGCCGTCAGCAGCCGACCCTCAGGGATGTAGCAGACCACCCTCTGCCAGCGCTTTAGGTGGGAAAGCGAAGGGGTTGCTGTGGGGAGAACCCGCCTGCCCTGGGTCCCAATTCAGGGGCGATGGTCCTCGAAGCTGAGCTGTCAGGAGGGGCCTGTGCAGAGAAAGGGCCCGCCCCACCCCCGCAGCCAGGTGCGCGCCACACGGCAGCCTTCCCGAAACATAGTATGAATTTTTAAAATTTGTTTATTTTTGTTTCTCAACCACTTTATAATGTATTTAATTTATTTTGTAATGTCTTGTTTTTAAGTATTGCTGCTATCCTTGTTATTCTTCCCACTGTTTTTATTGCTGATTTATTTTGTGAAAGTTGTACACTAATGTTCTGTTTTATGTCAAAATCAAAAGTATTTAAAGAAATACTAGTTCTATTTAATGTGGTTATGGAACCAGCTGGAAACACAAAACAAACAGCGACTGTACAGCAGGCTGGACCCGGGAGGGTAGGTTCATTTTGTTACATATGCAATAAACTCACGACTTTACATGATCGGCATCTGTGACTTTGCTGTGGAAACGAGATTCCAGTCTCTTGCCCGCCCCTCGAGCAAGGAGGTCAGTGGTGAGAAACGCAGGGAGGGCCTTCGGCAGAGGAAGCGCGGCCTTGCTGCATGCGCACGGCAGGCTCGGCCAAGCGTCCCGGGCTGTTGACTTCTCTTTCACGGCTGGTCGTGTGTGTTGGTTTGGGTTTTTATTTTTATTTTTAATATATTTTATCATGATAAACTATGCATCACATAATATTTATCAATTTAAGCATAAGTTCATGAATATATGACCCAGTGGCATTACATACATTTCACAGTGTTGTGTAACCATCGCCACAGCTATTCCCAAAACCTTTTCTTTCCTTTTTATTGAATTGATTGGGCTAACACTGGTTAACAAAACCACACAGGTTGCAGGTGCACAATTCCACACACATCCCTGTACCTGCATTGTGTGCTCACCGCCCCAAGTCAAGTCTCCATCACCGTTTGTCCCCCCTGTGCCTCCTCCCCCTCCCCTCCCCTCCCCTCCGGTCCGTGTCCGTGAGTTCTTTTTTCTTAATCTCTCCACCCCCGACCCCAAAACCTTCCTATCTTCTCAAACTGAAACTGTGCCCATTACCAATAACGCCCCTCCTCTCCTCTCCCCCAGGCCTCGGTAACCTCCGTTCTACTTTCTGTGAGTTTGCCTGTTCTTCATATAGGTGAAATCATACAATATTTGTCCTTCTGTGTCTGATTCATTTCACTTAGCATAATATTTTCAAGGTCCATCCATGTTAGAGCATATATCAAAGTTTACTTTTTTTATGGCTGAGCAATAAATACTCCATTGTAGGGATATACCAGATTTTGTTTTTCCATTCATTTAATGAACACTTGGTGTGATAAGTTAATTTTCTGTGACAACTTGACAGGGCCATGGTACCCAGAAAAGATTACAGACAGATATCTTGAGTCTTCTTTAATTTCTTTTAGCAATGTTCTATAGTTTTCAGTGTATAAGTCTTTTGTCTCCTTGGCTAAATTCAGTCCTAAGAATTGTATTCTTTTCAATGCTAGTTTAAATTGAATTGTTTCCTCAATTTTCTTTTTGGATTGTTCATTGTTAGTGTATGGAAACAGCTGATTGTGGTTTGCTGATTTCATTTGTAGTTGTCACAGTGGATATGTATGTTCTTTGGGGTTTCCTGCATAAGGATCATGTCTGTAAACAGACCAAGTCATTCCTTCCTTCCTAATCTGGATGCCTCTCGTCCTTTCTGGCCTGGTGGCTCTGGCTGGGCCTTCAGCACTGACAGTGCTGACAGAAGCGGTGAGTGTGAGCACCTGCTCTTTGAAGAGCTGTCAGTCCTTCACCCTGGAGTGTGACAGTAGCTGTGGGACTGTTCATCTGTGGCCTTTATTGTGTTGAGGTAGTTTCCTTCTGTTCCTAGTTTGTTGGGTGTTTTCATCGTGAAAAGGTGTTCAATTTTGTCAAATGATTTTGCTGCATCAATCGAGATGATCATTTGATTTTCCCCTTTATTCATTTATATGGCATATTACATAGATTTATTTTGTATTGAATAATCCTTGCATTCCAGGAATAAATTTTGCTTTGTCATGATGCATTATCCTTTTTATGCTGTTGGATTCAGTTTGCTAATATTTTATTGGAGATTTTACATCAATACTCATGAGGGATATTAACCTATCGTTTTCTTGTGGTGTCTTTGGCCTCATAGACTGAATGAGGAAGTGTTTCTTCCTCTTCAAGTTTCTGGAAGAGTTTGAGAAGGGTTGGTAGAATTTACTAGTGAAGGTCCTGGGATTTATTGGTTGGCACGTTTTTTACTACTGATTTAATCTCCTTGCTCATTCAGATTTTCTGTTTCTTCATGATTCAGTCTTGGTAAGTTGTGTGTTTCTAGACATTTGTCATTTGTTGACATATAATTATTCATAGTACAGTTGACCCTTCAACAAAATGGGTTTGAACTGCATGCATGGATCTACTTCCTGAATAAAAACCACACATTTTATTTGATAAATATATTGAAAAAATTTTTTGAGAATTCCTTAACTACCGTGAAGCAGTTGTATCGATTACACTAGAACATTATAAAGCAATCATATTGCTGCTTCTTTGTTATCAATGGATAAATCACCATACTGTAAGTGAATATAAATTTTTTCACATTACCTTTTCATTTTTATGTCTAATGTTAGTAATACCTATAACATTTACAGTATTTACATGACAATATAGATTGGTTACTACTCATAGATAATTCATCTTATAAGCAGACAATGTAAACTTAGAGTATTGACAAATACAGTACAGTAATGTAAATGAGTTTCTCTTATGGTTTTCTTTTTCTTCTTCTTTTTTTATTTTTGGCAAAGCTTCCCATGTAATCTTTCTTTTTTTTAGATACATATTTTTATTGATTTCAGACAGGAAGGAAGAGGGAGACGAGATAGACATATTAATGATGAAAGAAAATCATCAATTGGCTGCCTCCTGCATACCCCACACAGGGGATCGAGCCTGCACCCCGGGCATGTGCCCTGACTAGGAATCGAACTGAGACCTCCTGGTTCATAGGTTGATGCTCAGTCACTGAGCCACACCAGCCAGGCTCCTTTTTAAAGATTTTTTTATTGACTTAGAGAGGGAGAGAGAGAGAAACATGCATGTGAGAGTAGAACATCTATCGGTTGCCTCCTCCACACTTACTACCTGGGAACGAGCCCGCAACCTGGGCATGTGCCCTGACCAGGAGTCAAACCAGCAACTGTTCAGTGCATGGGAGGATGCCCAACCAACTGAGCACCACTGGCCAGGGCCCTTGTGATTTTCTTAACACTTTCTTTTATCTAGTTACTCTTTTATATGACCACAGTATATAAGACATTTACAAAATATGTGTCAATTGACTGTGTCATTGGTAAAGCTTCCAGTTAAAAGTAGGCTATTAGTAGTAAGTTATTCTGCACTGCTCGGCTGGCCTGGCTCAGTGGTTGAGCGTCGACCTATGAGCCAGGAGGTCATGGTCAGGGCACATGCCTGGGTTGCAGGCTCGATCCCCAGTGTGGGGCATGCAGGAGGCAGCCAATCAATGGTTCTCTCTCATCATTAATGTTCCCCTCTCTTTCTTTCTCTCCCTTCCTCTCAAATCAATAAAAATATATATTTTTTAAAGTTATCTGCAGATTTTCAACTACACAGGGGTTAGCGCCCCTAACCCCTGCGTTGTTCAAGGGTCAACTGTGCTCTCATAATCCTTTTTATTTCTGTAAAATTTATAATTACTGTCCCCTCTTTTCTGATTTTAATTTTAATTTTTCTTATTGGCTAAAGGCCTGTCATTAGTCGATTTATGTGTTATTTTTTTTAAGAACCAACCCTTGGCCTCAGTGACTTTTCTGTTGTTTTTCTCCTCTCTATTTTATTTATCTCTGCTATAATATTTCCTTCCACTGCTCGCTTAGAGATTTAGGGGTTTTTTTTTTCTTTTTTATCTAGTTCCTTAAGGTATAAAGTAGACTGATTTGAGACCCTCTTCTTTTATAATGTAAGTAAGCATGTACAGCTATAATTTCCTTCTTACTACAGTTTTTAGTTTTGATATGCTATAACTGCATTGTCCTTTATCTCAAGACATTTTCTATTTTCTCTTGAAATGTGTTGCTGAATTTACACATTTATGAATTTCCCTTTCATTATTGATTTTATTCCATTGTGGTAAGAAAAAATACTTTGTATGGTTTCAGTCTTTTAAAACTTCTTGAGGCTTGTTTTATGGCCTAACATACATTCCATCTGGAGAATGTCCCATGTACATGTGAGGGTATGTGCGTTGTGCTGTTGTTGGGTGGAGTGTTCTGTGTACTGGCCTGTGTTATTCAGGTCCTCTTTTCCTGACTGATCTGTCTGGGGTTCTAACCTATTAAAAGTAGGGTATTGAAGTCTCCTACTATTATTGTAAAGCTGTCTATTTTAACCTTCAGTTTTTCAGTGTTTGCTGTGGGTCTCTTTGAGTTTATCTTAGTTGGAATTTGAGTTTCTTAAATATGTTTGTCCGTTTTCTTCTCTAGCATTTCTTGCAAGGCAGGTCTGTTGGTAATGAACTCCCTCAACTTTTATGTCTTATTTCTCCCTCATTTTCAAAGAACAGTGTTGCTGGGTATAGAATTCTGACAGGTTTGGGTTTTTTTCTTTCATCAATTTGAGTAAATCAACCACTGCTTTATGGCCACCAAGATTTCTGATGAAAAATTTGCTGGTAATCTTATTGACAATTCCTTGTGTGTGACAAGTCTTTTGTGCTGCTTTTCAAGAATCTCTTTGTTTTAGCCTTTTGACAGTTTGATTATAATGTATCTTGGTGTGTCTGTGAGTCTGTTCTACCTGAAGTTTATTGAACTTCTTGGATTTGTAGATTTGTGTCTTTTACAAAATTTTTGAAGTTTTCAGTCATTTTATTTTTAAGTTGTTTCTTTCTTCTGCCGGCTTAAACATGCTTTTGAACTCCTCTAAGGAATTTTCATTTCGGATGTTGTACTATGTATTGTTTTCCTGTCATTGTCTGCATCTTTCTTTAGTTCTTTGAGCAGCTTTCAGATAGTTGTCTTAGTCTAGCAAGTCTGCTGTCTATGCTTCCTCAGTGATGATTTTTTGTGACTTTGTTGAAAAGTGAACATTTGAATCTTATAATGTAACTCTGGAAATCAGATTCTCCCCAGATTTTTTGTTTGATTATTTTTTCACTTGTTAGAAGTGTCTCTGAACAGCCAAGGTAAAAAAGCTTGAGGTTTTCTTGGGTCTTTCCTGTGCCTGCATCTCTCCCTGGGTAGAGGAGGTTGCTAACACACACACAGGATCTCGCCGTCCCAGATCGGGATCCTGGCACAGCTCCGTTTGGTCCTGCGCTCTCGGGGCTGCACCAGGGAAGACCCTCTCCAGCCCTCGGGTTGTTGGCAGATTCATTTTCTTGCAGGTTTGTGACAAGGGTCC